AAAACGTAAAAAAATGTGCATGGTTGAACATTGTCAGAAAGTAGATTCTTGAATAGGTTTTGCCAAAATGGGTTCAAAAATGTCAATAATTAATTAAAAAATACAGTAGCTTTATAATTACTTATAACTTACCGAATTTGATAAACGACATCTTTTATTGGAAAGATGAGCTTGATGAGCTTTCATCATCGCTACTGCCTGAAGCCCCAACGTCAATAATGAATGGCTCGACTTGTTCCTCTAAAATATTGCCCAGTTCCCACATTCTCTTTTCAACTTTGTCTTTCACGTGCTTAATACAGTTTTCCCATTTTTGCGCTGTTATTAATTCTAGTGCTTCTTTGAAAAGTCCTTTGAGGTCACAAAATTTAAAAGTTGTATTGTGCTTAGCTATATAATTTTTAACCTCTGCCCATATGAGCTCAATGGGATTGAGCTCGCAATGGTATGGAGGTAAACGGAGCACAGTTTTATTTTGACTTGCTGCCATTTCGTCAATGGCGTATTTTTGATATTCCGCCTTGTGATCATTAACAATTCTTAATAATTGTACTTTCAGCATTGCTTCTTCAAAGTTGATATTTTTCGAGCGGAGCCAATTTTGAACATCAACTTTCCTTGAAGCCGTTGTTGGGACCTTCTCCATTCTTCGAGAATGATAAGGCGCATTATCCATCACAATTACTGCGTTTTCCTCTAAGTTCGGTAAAATTTTTGAAAACCACTGTTCAAACGATTTGCCATTCATTTCCTCGTGGTAATCTCCAATTTTCTTAGACTCAAAGCACCACAGACCGTCAACAACTAATCCATCCTCACTGCCAATATGGCAGATAATGAGCCTTTTCCCTTTACCTGGAAATCGAAGTACTAACTGGTGTAGATTTATTTCAATAAGCGAACCTTTTTCAAATGTTTTCATCACATTCAGCGAAAAAACATTGAGACATGAGTATCAGATTGCTATAATTGGGATTATTTAGTCATATTGAAAGAAAGAATATTGAACGTCGTATGATTACTCAGCGCTTCACAATTTAATTTAAAGTTATAAACCTTTAAAAAATGAATGATCAGGAACCTGAAATACGCGCATATATTAATATTAACAAATTATAACTTTATAAAGCTTAAAGTATGAATTAAAATGATTAGAAATATTAGGAACGGTACACCATATAAAACTTAGTAACTTTTTTTAAGTTTATAATATTCGACATATTTTAAGATTATATTAAAAAATTATTGAAATATCGAAAACACATAAAAACATGGCTTAAAAAAGTTCTAACAAATGAAAATGACAATAAAACATCCACGCATTTTATCGAAAGTTATAAAAGTTTAGTAGTAAACTATTACGACCCCGTTTTTTCCATTTGAAATTTAAATGCTTCAGTAACGCATGGAAAGTTGATCGTTTGAAATTTGGCAACGTTGTATCTCCATTTACCTCCTGCAGTACTTTATCTATAGTAGGTATTTCATTCCTAAAGAAGAATTCATGCACTTTCCTCCTAATCGCATGCTTATCAGCTTCATCCAATGATTTAACAATACTTTTGCGATGTTTACTGGTCATTGGCTCAGAAAAGGTGTGATTTTTTTTGTATTGCCTTAACACATTAAACACTGATGCGCGACACACCCCAACTTTGTGAGAAACCTTCACAACAATTTCTTTGATGGTTGATGCCTCGTTCTCCTCGCGCTCGATCTTATATATATTCAAAATGACCTCTTTCATTTCTGCACTCAGGTGTCTTTTTTTAGAGCGTTTCCTAGGTGGACTACAGGAGTTTACAACTTCATCGGCAGTATCTGTACTACTGGGCATTTTGCGCAAGCAGTTGATAACAATAACAATCAATAACAAGGTATAACAATAACAACGACAAACTCAACAACTTAATAAGATAACAAACGAAAACGTCCAAAGAAATATCAAATTGCAATGATGCACACGACATACGTAACACGTCTGAACCTGAATGTGACTCTGCCTTGATACGACTGCTCTGCCGCTCGGCATAGGCATTTAATTGCGAATTGACCATTGAGGGCTCCTGTTTTACGTCGAGATGGCGGCGTTAGCCTGAAAATCACCCGAACCTTTTGTTTACATCCGGTCTATCTCTTATCTGAATATACCAAATATGGAGTTCAAAAGTTAGAATGGCTCATTGTTCACATATTCTAACAGCACACATGTTGAAAGGAGCTTAGCGAAACAAACCTCGAAACCTTAATCATCCATAGCAGAGAAATCGATTACACGAGAGCCATTGGGGAATAGAAAGAAGAAAAAGACGACTACGCCCGCTAAAGAATAGCTTGGGATTATTCAGTCGAGAAAACTCGCGTATTTTTCCACGGAAATCAAACAGTTGCAGAAATAATTTTCCGATAATATAGGAATTTCCAATAATCCGGAGGACCGACTAGAGCAACCCCGGGATCGGGATAAAGGAGGAAACGATTCAAGGAACAAGATCGTACACGGACCGGATTCAACGAAAGAAACGTCATAAAGACTGTTTTACTGAAATTGGCGTCAAGTAGGTTGACTCAGCTCGGCACAAATTGAATGGATCAAGTCAGTCAAACAGTTCTGTACAATTTCGAGAAACACGGTTTCGTGCATGGCACGAGTAACTCGAAAGCATTTCTCTATCATTCCAAGTTTCAAGGATAAATGTACGGGGAAACCTATGTTGTGTCAAATATTGCTATTACCGGGGATGAGAGCGTTCAAATATACGAAGATCAAAAAACGTTCATGTACCCAACCTCACCTTCATGCTCATCTCCCAAATTTTAACTAATACAAAAATTTTCTGAAAAAAACGAAGTTTAGTTTTTTCGTTTTTTACTTTTTTATCCGCCATAAAACTACAAAGCTTTTCAGTCCTCGGCATGCTTAAAAATTTTATAAAAATACGACAGAATGACGAAAATGAGTCACGTGGTTTTTCGTCATGTAGGTACATGACATATAACATCCAAAAAACACAATATCCCATTTTCCATACACGAGTACGTTAGTTTCGATGTTTTCAAGTCGTACCAGTATGTGACTAAATCGGGAGTGCTTCTTGTTTGTTCTTTCTATCAAATGGAATCTCCTCCATTTTGCATGTTTCATATTTTTATCTTTCCTAAGGATTGTCCTAAGTGACATATAAATCCGAACACCCAGTTTAAATGGTTTTATTTTAATAAAATTTTGTATAAGTACTTAATGAAGCATAATAAGTAAATGATAAAAATTTCAAAATGATTGCACTGCGTTAAAGCCCTTTGACCTTTAATAATGTGTGGATGCACCCTGATGTGCTACGCATTCTCCAACGCGCCTAGGCATGCTTCTGATCAGGTGGTCAATGTCCTCCTGTGGTATCTCATTCCAGGCAACCACCAACTCCTCCCGAAGTGCTTCTAGAGTCTGAGGAGGACGTTGCAAATTGAGCAATCTCCTACCCATCATATCCCACACACGCTCAATTGGGGATAAGTCGGGAGATCTTGGTCGCCATGGTAACAATGTGACATCATTATGTTGAAAGAAGTCTATTGTGACTCTTGCAACATGTGGTCGGGCATTATCTTGTTGGAAAGTTGGATCTGCCAGGGTTTCAAGATAGGGTAAAAGATGGGGTTCTAGAACTTCGTGGATATAACGCTGCGCGTTCATGTTACCTCTGATGAAGATTAAAGGTGACCTGGAACCATAAGCTATAGCACCCCAAACCATAACTCCAACAGTGTGATGAACATGTCATTCAACAAAAAACTGTGGATTCCTCCTTTCACCACGTCTCCTTCTAATCCTGGCACGACCATCGTGCATGCCTAAACAAAATCGAGACTCGTCACTAAAGACAATAGTGTTCCATTCCTGATCCCAGAGTGACCGTTGTCTGCACCACTCAAGGCGATTACGTCGGTGTTCTCTAGTTAAAGGGAGGACCCAGTGTGGCCGGTACCAAATCAAGCCAAAACTTCTCATTCGTCGGTAAACACTTCGCATGCCAATAGGTCTTCCGTGTTCTGCAAACCATTCATTTGCAATGGACCTGGTAGTGGAAAAACGGTCCCTTAAGGCCAATAATCTTAGGCGGCGATCTTCACGGACTGTTGTTCTACGGCGGCGTCCAGTGCCCCTTGCTCTTTGCGTACGGCCTTCTCGAAGCCATGCCTGACAACAACTAACCACAGTGTCTACACTTCTTTGCACTCTAACTGCAATTGCCCGAAAAGAAGGTCCAGCTTCCCGAAGTCCCACTATACGGCCCTTATCAAACTCACTAAGTTGACGAAATCGTACAGGTCTCCGTACTCTAGGCATCGTAACCGATCGTAAAGGATGTCAAGAACTAAAATCCGCCAACGTTGATTCTTTACTGCGGCTGAAATATTCAAAATTTTCAAAATTTCAAAAAAAGCAGAAAGCAGTATAAAAACCGGAATGTCCAACTGATAAGGCTGAAAATTTTTTCACTTGTTATTTACAGTAAGATAAATACATTCACCAACTTTTATTAAAATAAAACCATTTAAACTGGGTGTTCGGATTTATATGTCACTTAGTATATTTCCTCAACTGTTGGGTAATAAACGGTATTTATTATTTTTTTCTGTGACGAGAAAAAAGTTTGACATTTTATTTCTGTTGACAGGTAACAAAATGTCATTTTTTATGAAGTTACTTTTTTCCCTGGGAAAAAAATGAGTACTTTTTTCCGGATACTGTATAAACACATAAGCAAAGGTAGATATTTAATTTTAGAATATTTTATTATACAATAAAGTTATATTTCCCTTATATCAAAAGTACAATTATTAAATGTGCATTGCATGAAAGACTCGTCCCTTAACCTATTCGGTACAACAGTCGAATTGTCTTGTGTTGAAGATATATCTTTTTCTGTCAGCACTCCCGTTGATGTACTTGGTCGCAAATCCGGTGTTATTTCAGCACTACCACACGTTTTTATTAGCTACTTTTGTCCTGTCCGCTACCGATTCATCAACATACCCTTCAGAAACCGTTGATGACTTCCAACTGCCATGTTTCTTTAGTGTCATCAAGTCTCCCTCAGATTCAACTGAAAGTGTAGCAGATGATCTCAGAAATGAATAACCTGTATATGAGTTAGCATTTTCAAGTTAAAGAAAATTAGCCACTGTTTCGGGAACCTTATAAAACTGGTTTTTACCCACGACCTGAACGATACATTTTCCATTGTGATATGCAGACGGCGATCCTTTGCTGCTGCTAGACGAAGGGCTATTTACATTCGGTAAAATTTAATATATTTTTCAGTAACTAAAAATCTCTTGTTTACATCATTCTTTGTTCCCTTAAGTCTCACAATCAAAAACGTTCCCGAATCTTCAATATATATATATCTAATGTTACCTGGCTGATTTCACAGATTCGACAACCTCCTGCAATCCCAAATACAACAACTTGGATCATTGAATAAACTTCATCGGGAGCATTATTTAAAAAATCACTAATTTGTGTACTCGTAAGAATCGCAGCTTTCTTGAGCTTGTAACCTTTCCCATTTTGTCTCAGAAATGTAATTAGTTTGAAATATTTTGTGCCAATTCCGAAAAAGAAAGAACTGCATTATTGTTATACACGGGAAAATACTTTTTTCCATTCTATAATAAGTAGCTATGTTTATCATTATTTAATCCTTCCCCGCCCAGTGACGTCGGGAATAAAAGAAGAGACTGTCACTTTCATGAAAAATTCACAGAGTTCCACTAAAAAACAATTTCTAAAAAACTCTATTTAGACCAAAGATCGCTTGTATATAACTTTCTCCTCAAATATCACACGAAAAGGTTGAAAGGGAGTCAATTTATGCATTGTAAATTGTTACCAGCAACTGGGTATTATTGCAAGTACGACCCTGGGCCGAACCTAAGCATCGGCGGACGTCGAGATTGTGGAAATAACGTCCAAGCAACTTCTTAGTGCCATGAATTCTACTTACGACAAAGCGAAACTTAATAAGAAAAATATGAAACGCCTTCGCTCAGCTGAAAAGTCTGCATTGTACCCCGGTTGTATACACCCCACAACGATTGAGATTAATAGAAGCAAGCTTGAGGCTTGCATTTTCCAGATATTTACAAAAGACTCTTCGAGATTGCTTGCGATACAGCGGTGGTGATTAAGTTTCGGTATTAGAAATAACAAGTTGTATCTTTAATAGCGTAGCAAATGAAATTTTTATATATACCAAAAGCTTCAAATTCTCACCATTAGAATCTTGAAAACGATGAGATATACGAAGTCACTTGATTGTGGGTACAGTTGCGTATTTACGTAACTGACAAAATGTCGCTTAAAAAGTATCGAAATTCAAAGTACTTCCGTAGAGAGACCGAAAAAACCGAATTTTCTCAAAGCTGTTTCGATTTTTCCTGACTTTATCTGTTGTTGGATTTCTAAACAAATAAGAACAGGATTGCACAAAATCACTATAACCTAAAAAAAACAGCTGCAAGAAGGACTAGTAGATTACGAGTGATCAATGTACCAGCCCTTACACCATAAAACATGGTAATTATATACTAAGTGACATATAAATCCGAACACCCAGTTTAAATGGTTTTATTTTAATAAAAGTTGGTGAATGTATTTATCTTACTGTTTAGGTGGACATTCCGGTTTTTATACTGCTTTTTTTTAATTCACTAACGCTGTAAAAATGAATATTTCAGCCGCAGTAAAGAATCAACGATGGCGGATTTTGGTTCTTGACATCCTTTACGATCGATTACGATGCCTAGAGTACGGAGACCTGTACGATTTCGTCAACTTAGTGAGTTTGATAGGGGCCGTATAGTGGGACTTCGGGAAGCTGGACTTTCTTTTCGGGCAATTGCAGTTAGAGTGCAAAGAAGTGTAGATACTGTGGTTAGGTGTTGTCAGGCATGGCTTCGAGCAGGCCGTACGCAAAGAGCAAGGGGCACTGGACGCCGCCGTAGAACAACAGACCGTGAAGATCGCCGCCTAAGATTATTGGCCTTAAGGGACCGTTTCTCCACTACCAGGTCCATTGCAAATGAATGGTTTGCAGAACACGGAAAACCTATTGGCATGCGAAGTGTTTACCGACGAATGAGAAGTTTTGACTTGTTTTCGTACCGGCCACACTGGATCCTCCCTTTAACTCGAGAACACCGACGTAATCGCCTTGAGTGGTGCAGACAACGGTCACTCTGGGATCAGGAATGGAACACTATTGTCTTTAGTGACGAGTCTCGATTTTGTTTAGGCATGCACGATGGTCGTGCCAGGGTTAGAAGGCGACATGGTGAAAGGGGGAATCCACAGTTTTTTGTTGAAAGACATGTTCATCACACTGTTGGAGTTATGGTTTGGGGTGCTATAGCTTATGGTTCCAGGTCACCTTTAATCTTCATCAGAGGTAGCATGAATGCGCAGCGTTATATCCACGAAATTCTAGAACCCTATCTTTTACCCTATCTTGACACCCTGGCAGATCCAACTTTCCAACAAGATAATGCCCGACCACATGTTGCAAGAGTCACAATTGACTTCTTTCAACATAATGATGTCACATTGTTACCATGGCCACCAAGATCTCCTGACTTATCCCCAATTGAGCACGTGTGGGATATGGTGGGTAGGAGATTGCTCAATTTGCAACGTCCTCCTCAGACTCTAGAAGTACTTCGAGAGGAGTTGGTGGTTGCCTGAAATGAGATACCACAGGAGGACATTGAATACCTGATCAGCATGTCTAGGCGCGTTGGAATGAAAACAAAGAATGAAATATTGACAAAAAGACGCAACAGGACAAGTTAATAAACAAGGGAAAGACCATCTAGGTGATTTATCCTGCCAGTTCAAGCCAATTGAACACATAGGAAGCGAGCATAAAAATTGCTCAAATATATGGAGTCAATGAGCTTTTTATACGGAGTGAGAAAAAAAGGTATACACCAACGTATAACCATAAACAATAATATGGCGTTTCGTCTCTTGTTGTCTAGCATCACATTAATTTTTTCTTTTTTTTAAATTCTAATTCTATGTCATATTTTCTCATTGCCAAACCATAGCTATCGCAGAGAAACAGAATTTCCTAGGTAGGCCTTGAAATTATCAGACTGTCAATTGTTTCGTATACGAGACCAGACCTCAAATTTAACATACTAACAGAGTCTGGAAGACTGAGAAGAAGTGAAACGAACCGACTAGTAAAGAATTTACAGAGAAGAGTCAAGTTTTGCCAACAAAATAACGGATAAAGTTTTGAATATCTGCTTATGTATGATTACTATTTTAATTGCCATAAATACAATTTTCATTTTGTGTTCATGGTGAGCTCTGAATTAAGGACTGCTGATCAGACTATGTAACTCGTTGAATCATCGAATTGCTGGTAAGTCAGTCCTCACTACTAACTGTATTTTCTCAAAAATGAAGGATAGAGTTCCGATGCCTAGCTTATCCATTGTATTCCATCAATTGCAATAATTGTGATCCGACATACATATATACGCCAAACCTCCTTAACCTAAAAAGGAAGAATGACATCACACAAAAGTGATTCCAGTTTGTATTCCGAGTGTTATTTGGCATCACATTTCAGTACAACAGCACACTCAATTAATTATACAGGGTGCGGCAGAGAGGACGGACGGTTTAAAAAAAATCATAAAATAGTTAATTTTTACTCAAAAACAAATTTATTGATGGAATCGGGTTCACAAGGAAATAGCATTTGAGACAGTCAAGTGCGGAAAATCACGTCAGGCATGTGGTGGCCGAAATCTTTGATGCAGTGCAGGAGCGGTTCTTGGAAGTTCGCGTAGACTCTCTGCATCATCGCTCTCTCAACTTGGGCGACTTCCACGCGAATTTCTAAAATGATTGCACTGCTTTAAAGCCCTTTGACCTTTAATAATGTGTGGATGCACCCTAATGTGCTACGCATTCTCCAACGCGCCTAGGCATGCTTCTGATCAGGTGGTCAATGTCCTCCTGTGGTATCTCATTCCAGGCAACCACCAACCCCTCTCGAAGTGCTTCTACAGTCTGAGGAGGACGTTGCAAATTGAGCAATCTCCTACCCATCATATCCCACACATGCTCAATTGGGGATAAGTCGGGAAATCTTGGTGGCCATGGTAACAATGTGACATCATTATGTTGAAAGAAGTCTATTGTGACTGCTGCAACATGTGGTCGGGCATTATCTTGTTGGGAAGTTGGATCTGCCAGGGTGTCAAGATAGGGTAAAAGATGGGGTTCTAGAATTTCGTGGATATAACTCCAACAGTGTGATGGACATGTCTTTCAACAAAAAACTGTGGATTCCTCCTTTCACCACGTCGCCTTCTAACCCTGGCACGACCATCATGCGCGCCTAAACAAAATCGAGACTCGTCACTAAAGACAATACTGTTCCATTCTTGATCCCAGAGTGACCGTTGTCTGCACCACTCAGGGCGATTACGTCGGTGTTTTCGAGTTAAAGGGAGGACCCAGTGTGGCCGGTATGAAAACAAGACAAAACTTCTCATTCGTCGGTAAACGCTTCGCATGCCAATAGGTCTTCCGTGTTCTGCAAACCATTCATTTGCAGTGGACCTGGTAGTGGAGAAACGGTCCCTTAAGGCCAATAATCTTAGGTGGCGATCTTCACGGTCTGTTGTTCTACGGCGGCGTCCAGTGCCACTTGCTCTTTGCGTACGGCCTTCTCGAAGCCATGCCACACAACAGCTAACCACAGTATCTACACTTCTTTGCACTCTAACTGCAATTGCCCGAAAAGAAAGTCCAGCTTCCCGAAGTCCCACTATACGGCCCCTATCAAACTCACTAAGTTGACGAAATCGTACAGGTCTCCGTACTCTAGGCATCGTAACCGATCGTAAAGGATGTCAAGAACCAAAATCTGCCAACGTTGATTCTTTACTGCGGCTGAAATATTCATTTTTAGAGCGTTAGTGAATTAAAAAAAAGCAGTATAAAAACCGGAATGTCCAACTGATAAGGCTGAAAATGTTTTCACTAGTTATTTACAGTAAGATAAATACATTCACCAACTTTTATTAAAATAAAACCATTTAAACTGGGTGTTCGGATTTATATGTCACTTAGTATATCTCTCCAAATATCGGATCATCACAACCATAGATAAAACCAAATTAATAATAAATTGCCCATTCGACTCAGTTTCTCCAAATTC